CAACATATGAACCATGACAAGACTAAAGAGGAGTATGCTCATGCCATGCTCATAATAAAACAATTTATCTCTCTTTTTATAAAGCATACAATGCTAAGATGCAACAACAGATATAAAACCATTTCCATTTTAAACCATATTTGCTACATGAATACAGGATCTGTGAATCTCTAGGTGAGTGTCTGCAAGTAGGCCTTAATGTACTACCACTGTCATTTTTACCAGTAAACTAGAAAGCTCGACACCTAACCGTGCGGTTCTACACCCTCTACCCAGATTCACCAAGTATTCATCTTTTCGCAAACAAATACATTTCCAAACATTTCTTAAAACAGATACATTTCCAATGAAATGAATGTAATGCAATGTTCAATGCAACAAGACATATGGCATTGATTATCAGGAGACCTTCGCACCCGTGGCTAAAATGAATTCAGTCAGAGTATTTCTCTCTCTAGCAGCTAATCTAGATTGGCCGCTTTATTAGTTTGATGTCAAGAATGCTTTTCTCCATGGTGACCTCGAAGAAGAAGTATATATGGACATTCCTCTGGGTTTTGAGGATCATCAAACAGAAGGCAAAGTATGCATACTTCGGAAGTCATTATATGGTCTCAAATAGTCTCCAAGGGCTTGGTTTGAGAGATTTACTCAGGCTATGTTTAAATATGGCTTCAAACAAAGTCAGGTAGATCACACATTGTTTGTGAAACATTCCTCACGCGGTAAGACTATAGCACTTATTGTTTATGTAGATGACATAGTTTTTACAGGCAATGATAGTGGGGAAATACCTCTGTTGAAGAAATATTTAGCCAAAGAGTTTGAAATCAAAGACTTGGGAAGCTTCTGGGAATTGAAGTTGCTCGCTCTAAGGATGGGATCTTTATCTCACAGAGAAAATATGTGCTTGACCTGTTGAAGGAAACTGGGATGCTTGGCTGCAAGGCATGTGCCACTCCACTGGAACCAAATCAGAAATTGGGGGATGATGAAGGAGGGGAAGTTGTGGATAGGGGGAGCTATCAACGATTAGTGGGTAAGCTCATTTACCTACCTCACTCCCGTCCTGATATTGCTGTTGCTGTCAGTGTAGTTAGTCAGTTTATGCATGCTCCTCGTCAGATTCACTTTGAGGCTGTTATGAGAATCTTGAGGTATTTGAAGTCTGCTCCTGGTAAGGGTCTGTATTTTTCAAAGTATGATCATCTTCGTGTAGAAGCCTATACAAATGCTGACTGGGCTGGGTCAGTAACTGATAGGAGATCAACTTCAGGGTATTGCACATTTGTTGGCGGCAACCTAGTTACTTGGAGGAGTAAGAAACAGAATGTGGTTGCCAGGTCAAGCGCAGAAGCTGAGTTTAGAGCTATGGCACAAGGTGTGTGTGAACTTTTATGGATCAAATTATTGTTAAGTGATCTAGGTATTGATCAGACGGACTCCATGCGGTTATACTGTGACAATAAGGCCGCCATCAACATCGCTCACAATCCAGTTCAACATGACAGGACAAAACATGTTGAGATTGATCGCCACTTCATTAAGGAAAAACTCACTAGTGGTACCATTTGTACTCCTTTTGTTCAGTCTGGTGAACAACTTGCTGACATTCTCACCAAGGGAATTGGGAATAAACCATTTCATGACATATTAGGCAAGCTGGGCATGAGAGATATCTTCGCACCAACTTGAGGGGGAGCATATAATATTAGCCGAAAGTGTTAGCATATTATATTAGCCGAAAGTCAGTAGGGTCTGTAATCATTTTATGCCCTCAGGGATCATCTTGCAATTGTTTTCTTTGTAAACCCTAATTTTCATTTATAAATAAGGGGTGATCTTCTATCATACCCTAAGCTGGTTACCCAAGCTTCAACCTTCACTTTTGAAATTAAATCTCCAAACTGTTCAATACTCATTGGTAAAAGAAAATTAAAAATGAGTTTCTCTACCTTAAGAGTGCACCTATTAACCTTTTTTTGAGAAATAAAAGACCTTTGGCATCAATGTCAAGTGAACATTCATAATGATGTGGATCCCTTGAAGCACCATCCTCCACAATACCACACTTCATTTCAGTTCAGTGATTCCCCTCCACCTTGGTTGAAATACAGTTGCTAACTTACCAAAAAGTAAAGGAGTATATTTGCCAAAAAGACACTGATTATGCCCCAATGGTTGGCATCAGACAGCTCAAACAGAAAACTTCAAGCGCGGGGCAGGAGTAACTAACAATATTGCATCATTGAAGAATGGCACCGATTTGATGAATATTAATATATGAAGAAAAATCAGAAAGAAAATTAAATGGAATGAGGAAACACAAATCACTTGTAAATACTAACAGAATATACCACAAGTCTGTATAAACCAACCTTTCTTTGGCACCACTAGTGTTCCACACACATGGGCCAATTGCAGAAGCAGTAAGGAGACTAGCACCGTGACAAAGAGTGGGTTTATGTTCAAAAGAGTGTATAGTATGAATGGGTCGCGAGCTTAGTCCATTGATGGATTGAACAGGATGTACTGTCTGACGCATATCAAACACCAAAAGCATGCCGTTCTGCAAAACCAAAATGGTAAAATAATGACCTGGAAAATGCTATAAGCCTACAAGGTTCCAAACAAATGATCAAATTTTATGGCAATCATATCATTATTGTGAATCAATTAACTGGGGGAAAAAAAGGATTTTTTTAGGAATGAGATGAAATTATTATCAAGACCCAGAGTTTCAATATAATATAATGCATAAGATGAGTCCTCTACAAAATTATTTAACAGCTAAAAACTCTCGAAGCAGCTACAAATGGTAAAAACAGATACCTGTGAAGCATACTTCGAAGGCAGGCTAACCATATTTTTGGATATAAAACAATGCGGAGAGTTGAAGATCAAACCTGTAAGCCAGCATACATGTAATGTGAACTGTTGGGATCCCATGAGCATGACCAAGCTGGGCCCTGAAATAGAATATTTAAAAATTTCAAACTAGACAACAGGTGTGGAGACTAAAGAATGACAACGATAAAGAAAAAAAATAATTGATACAACTGCTTTTTTATTTTTTTACGTTCTTTTATTTTTTTCAAAATTCCAAGATTGTAAATATATGGAAGCTCTTAACAATTTTGAGGCGAGTGAAGGGGTAGTTCTACCACAGACCAATAATGACTGAATCAACTCTTCAGCAATTTATGTTTTCGTATGTTTTTTCCTTTTTTTTGGCTGCGGAAGGAGAACCGCACCCGTGTGCATGCTTATGTGTAAGAAATCATAATTCTTTTATATAGGAAAAAAAAAAATAGACTCATCTAAACAGCAGTTGAAAGATCATGAGGAACTCCAACAAATTTCTATAGAGTTTCATTCTATCTATCATAAATATAACCAAATATCAGAGTCATGAAGGAATATTCTTTTGGGGCTATGTGCACCACAAAAATCAGATATGTTTAGCTTTGTTATTTCCAAAAAGAGGCCATCTTGGAAGAGGACACTGTCCAATCACAACTCCCTTAATCTCTTTTGTCCCTACTCAGCTTGGGTAACTCATTTCTAAATGCTGCCTTTCTCCTCGGAATTACAACAATTCTTCAAACCAAAAAAAAAAAAAAATCCTTTTAGAAGACTATCCTTTCTCAGGTTTTGTCTTTTGTGTGGTTTATAAGTAATATGTATAAGCCAGTGTAAGTTTAGCTTCGATCTCCAACAAGTAGATTGGAATTTCATCTGCATTCCCAAGGAGTAGGCTCACTGGTATTAGACTGCTGATTCTTATGGGTATTAGACTACTAACTCTTATGGATCACACCATATATGGCTATAAGGTTTCCTTAGGAAAAAAAGGAAGTCTGCAGAATAATTTTGTGACTTGAAAGTATAATGATAGGTCCTACCATGAAGATCAAAGGACTATTGGGCGGGTATTTGAAAATATAGTGCTTGACAATCAACCAATTGATGGATTATGCTGCCAAATAGACGTAATGCATGAAAGACGGTGCAATAAGTGAGCCATCTACTTCTTTAATTCACTTGGAAAGTGAAATGTGGGCATTCATTCTCTCTCATCTATGTCAGATAGATTGTTCTTTTAAGCTTTTAAGTTGGTCCTTAATGGTAGGTTAGTACCAGACATTAAGAAACTGGAGATATCAGGAGAATTTTATTGCATAATGTACAAATGTTAGGAATGTGGTAACTTCTGATTGTTGCTTGAAACAGTTAAGCTCAAAAGCACCTTTCATTGGAAGCCATCAGATGGTTAGGCTCTGCAACTTCTATCATTGGTATTTTGTTGATTGCTAGCTTGAAATATTTTTTCTAAAAAGCACTTTTTTATTGGAAGGCATGACGGTTAGGAAGCCACTACTTCTTTTGTTGGTTTTTCTATTATTCAGTACACCCCTTACATCTACATGGAATTTTGGCCCTCTGATTTCAATCAATGAATCCGTTAATTCCTACATTAAATGAACTTGGCACGGGTGCATGTCCCAAATGTCAGATCCTCCAAACCTTCAAAGTTTACAATAAAGGGTTGCTAAAAGCGTTAAGTGTCCTAAAATTGGTGTGGACACTGATAAAAAGTAATTTAAGAGGAAGGGGTGAAGGTGAAAATCTGATTGATAAGTTGGGATTGTACTCTGTCTTTGCTTATCCAGAATCTTTTAGATTCAAGTGCTTTTCTCCAAATCTCCAACTTCGCGTTAACTCCTTCTCTAATCTCATCCACTAACACGATATCATCTACAAAAAGCATACACATGGCATGTCATTCTGAATATTTCTCGTCAACTCATCCATAATTAACGCAAAAAGATAAGAACTTAAGGTAGATCCTTGGTATAACTCTACAGTGAAAGGAAATTCATTTGTCTCCCCAGCAGGCGATCTAATAGTGGTCACCACCCTTTCATACATGTCCCTAATCACATCAATGTAACCTTTTATCACCCATTTCTTCTCTAACACCCACCATATTATATCCTGAGACACGCTATCATATACTTTCTCAAGGTCGATAAACACCATATGAATATCTCTTTTCTTTTCTCTATACTTTTCTATTACTCTCCTCAACAGATAGATCGCTTCCATTGTTGACCTGCTAGGCATAAATCCAAATTGATTCTCTTACATCTCTGTTATATCTCGCAATCAGCGTTCCATCACCCTCTCCCACACTTTCATTATATGATACATTAATTTGATTTATCTATAGTTGTTGCAATTCTGGACATCTCCTTTATTCTTATAGATTGGCACTAAAATACTCTTCCTCCACTCATATGACATGTTCCTAGTCAACAAAATTTTACTAAACAACCTAGTCAACCAAGCCACCCCTTTTTTACCCAAACACTTCCAAGCTTCAAACCTATGTAATTTGATCTTTTTGACACCATATTGAACATTACCAATATTTAATTAGACTGACAGACCATTGTGTTCAATGCCCAGAATCTTTGGGGCTAATGCTATACTTCCAATGCCCAGAATCATTTGTCCAGAATCATTTGTCCATCATTCCAATCAAGCTAATGCTATACTTCTGTTGAATTATGGACATTATGTCTTTGAATGGCCATGTTTAAACCGTATTTTTTGTACTTTTATTTATTCAATGGGCCATTGGTTGCTGTGAGAACCTGGTTCGGGTATAGGATTAACCATTGTGTGAAAATATTGTAAAATGTTATGTCTATATTCAGTCTATTGCTGATAGTGCCAGCACCCCGCATTGACACGACCAACATTGGGTAGGGGTGAGCAGCGGATATACCGATCCGCCAAAACCGACCGAACCGAACCGAACCGATCCGCCGCATTTTGGACGGATGCGTGATGATGAGCGGACGGTTGCGGATTGATTTTCTCCAATCCGTCAATTTGGCGGACGGATGGCGAATTTGAAATTTATTTGGCCGCAACCGAACCGCCAAACCGCCAAATCACGAGCACTCCTAGTAATTTATAAGATTTTGTGTTTTCAATTTGTTTAAATATTATGTTTGTGTTTTCAATTGAAAAAGAGTTTAAATATTTAGTTGAAAAAAATAAACATATTATTTATCTATATTTTTTTGTTTTTAAATCTAAATCTAAAAATAATAAATAGAAAATATGATATATGCTGGTTGGTTTTTGTTTTTGCAGAAAGTGTGTTGGTTACCCATGGTACCCATAAAAATTGGTTTTCAAACTTAATTCTGGCTGTGTTTGGAAGCAGTTTTGGAAGCATGATTCGAGTGCATTTTTCAAATGCTTTGTTTGGTTCTAAGTTTTCCAAAAATTGATTCTTAATGTTCACATTCCAAAAACTCATTTCAGATCATTGTTTGGAGAGCATGAGAGTTTTTTTGTGAATTTTGAAAAGAGCGAAATTTAGGTTCTACCCGATCATTCTTCCGGACAATCCGGGCGGTCGACCCGGCCTATTGACCGAACATTTTTTTTTGGTGGACAATTGGCACTTGTTTTTAAAAAAAAAAAAAATGGGGATTTGTTTTTGATTTTTTTTTAACAAAAAATAATATATTTTTTTAATATTTACATAAAAAAAATTTAAATTAAAAAAATTAATTTTAACAATAATTATTTTTTTAATTGGAATTTTAAAAGAGTTAGTTATGAGCTTTGAATTAGAATTTTGAGTTGTGTGTTTGGTTATGAATTATAAGTTTTGAATCATAACAAACTTTTCAATTTAAAAATTCATTTTCAAAAATTTAAAAATCAATTTCAGATCTTCTTTTCAAAAACTCATTAACCAAACAAATTTTCTCTTTCAAATCATAATTCAGAAACTCACAAACTTCAAAATACAAACGCTACACTCAAATTTATAATTCTAAAATTCTACCAAACGCTAACCTTTGTTTGCATAAGAGCTAATCTACTGACATTCCAGTATTAGAAATTGAGTTCATAGTTGGTGGTTGTGTTTCTGTTACATTTAGTTACTATTAAAATGTTTGCAAAATTTATTTCTATTTTTTGTAAGCATTGGTTTGCTGCAGAAATACTGTAATGCTTTCTTGTTGTCTATGCAGAGAGCTAATCACTGATATTCAAGATAGTTTGCTCAAAAGAAATGCGTCATCTCAAGGGAGGTCTGGTTTTGATCATTAAACATATTTAGAGTTTTTGCTTTCATTCAAATTAAGTAATGCATAGTTTCTGTTGATTTCAAAATTTGCCTTTGGTCATGGATCCAGTGGTTGTGGTACATGAACGTGTAATTGTAATTTGGCATCAGATTTATGGAGCTAGGGTTATGGAAATTAATTTTGTCTTGATGGTCAAGGTTATTTACTTTTCCATAACCTTGCTCTAGATTTCCAATCTTTAGTACATTAGTTAAAAATTATTATATTCTTGTTACATGCATATTTATCTAGTTCAGATTTATCAGACTACTTCCACCAGAATGGCAAGTCACACTTGGGATTAACTGGAAACTATAGGATAACATTCAGCAAGAAAAACATGGTCCGAAAGCAATACAAGAACCATGAAGCAGGCAGGGCAAAAGGGAGGCATTGGCCCTTCAAAAATGTGTTGTGAACAAGAACAAAATAGAAAAAAAGAACTCATGCTTTTGAGATTTAGATAGTTGGCACTCAATTCAGATTTAGGATAGCTGGCACTCAATCTCCTAAAACACTTATAATATTGAATGCTTGCAAAATTTTTGGCACGAATGCTGTCTCTCTGAGGTTTTGTTATTTTATCTTAATCTCTTTTGACATTATGACAACTGCCTTCTGATAGAGATAGACATCTTCACTTTGAGTTCTTTCTTCTTTGAAACATTTTTATACAGAACTCTGCTATAGATTTTAAACTAGGGGTTGTACTACTTAGGTGAGAATTTGCAACAATAAAAGCTTCTCATATGATCAGCAATCTTTCTCTCTCTCTCTCTTCTCTTCTCTCTCTTTGCCAGGCTGGCATT